ATTACATACACTTATTGTTATTTCTTTAACTAAACCACTTGTTTGTTTTTTCCCAAAAATTATACTTTGATACAGTTGGTTTTAATATACTTCCTGGAAAGATAAACAAAAAGAACAAAACTTAAAGCAGTACTTTTAAAGTGATGTCACTTTTTTTCAGTTAATAGTTGGGACCCTATAAGCTGTGATAGTCACAGAAAAATAAAAATAAAATTGAAGAAGTCTGTCCGGGTTGGGCCAATTAAAGGGTTGTTTAATAATGTTTTTAGGCTTCCTCAGAAATGTACTACTATTGTAAAGTAATGCACTATTTGCTACATATATTTGTTGCTGTTTTCTCAACCAAACAACAATATGAAGAAACTGAGTATAAACTGTATATCATGTTGCTTTGGCTGTCTGTCTGATCAGCACATCCAATTTGTGCAAATATACTGTCACTAGAGAATAGACTGGAAGCTGGAAGTTGAAGCGGCTGTGAACATGCTCCACCTAGTGGCTGGCTGCAGGAACAATTTTTAAGTTTACAACTGTGGTTAAAGGAGTGGGGCATTTTTCACAATAACAAAAAAAGAACATTACAAATAATAGACCCTTTCGTACTTAAAAAAGTTTACAAACACAAATGTACGAAGCTTGCCGAGCTCCACACATTTTTATTTATTTTTTTTGGAAAACGCTGAGGTTGATATGGAAATGCCATTGGAGTTTTGAACAAATGAATCCAGGAAATTGATGCTGTTATACAGAGCTGATCTATTTGCACTTTATATTCCTTTAGGATCATAGATCTATAAATCTGCTTTTTGAGCTTGTTGAATTTGCACAATCCCAATCAACGTTTTCTCAGTCGACCTGTGACCCAGAAAAGTTAGGCTCCGCTGGTACTGGTAACTATGAAATGACCTGTTTTTAGCTGTTTTTTCTGGTTCCCACAGCCCTTACCTTGCTCCTAWATTCTTTAAATGTGCATTTTATGTGGCTTTAATTTAAATTAAAGTGTCATGTGACACTTGTGATTGACAGCATCCAATTCTGTTGGGTAGTTAGATGGTCGTGTAGGCGTGTCTTTTGCATCAAAAGTAAAGTCACAGAAACACACACATGAAAAAATACATTTAGACTTGAATTTTGAACAATTAGAGGATTGATCATTTTAATAATGGTTACAAAACAAATGAATGCATCCTKCATAAACCATTGTTGGAGCTGAGGCTGCTGAGCATCGCCATCAGTGTTTCATCTCACAAAAMGATAACTGAACCATTATAGGATAACTTTATGTAACGTGTCTGAACCTGTTTGACCAGTACAGCCTAAAGCCAGTAATAAAGAGTGTGTTTATAAAAATGCATCAGTCTGGACTGATTAATTGCAGAAAAATGGGAACCTGTGTGGGCTTAAATGTTGTTGCCATTGTTTTAACTGGAATTTCAAATAGAACTATTGATTGCTTCATGGGGAGAACAACATAATCTTAGATGGTTTATCATTAATTTAATCAAATTACACTATTTGAGTTTGTGTTCCCGTGTCTAAAAGGGGCTTAATCAATCACGATATACAGTAAATGCAACAGTGGGAGTTTCCAGTAACTTTCTGTGCTCAGGTTTTTCCTTTGCACGTGTTTACGCTCTAACCCAGTACAAGTTAAGTACAAACTCTGTTAATTTTTAGACCACTGCTCTCAGATGCMTATCTGCAGAGGGTTGCTGCCTTCAGTAAAAAGTGGAAAAACAAACAAAGTCTTCACAGTGAGTGAAGTGAAGGTTTCTTACAGTTGCACGGCGTCATTTGCAAATGTCTATGTTGTGGTTGTTTTATGATGAAGTGGAAGTAAAGGATGGCCGCACATTTGCAGCTCTGTGCAGCAGGACACAGAATTGCAAGTGTTAACCTGTTTGAATTTTGTTTCGAAAGCACGCRAAGGGTACAAAAAGCTCTTGCTTGAAATATTTTAAAACAAACTCTCCATCAAATACGTTGATACATCAACTAATAGGAACTTTAAAAAGAAATTGCACGGATATTTGTGAGTAGGGTGTATGTAAAAAAGTAAGTTAGAGTAACTCAGCTAATGCAATTTGTCAACTTAAAGTTAAAAAAACAAATCTAAATTAATATTAAGTTGTTTTAACCTAATTATTCTTTGTGAGGTTAAAGTAAACCATGCTGGTTTGTTAGAGTTAACCTAACCTAAAATTACATMTTGAATTTACTTGTTAACAGACAATGTTGGCAACACTGAGTGGAAATTGGTGATGATGTTTTTTTAAATTGAGCCAACCAAACATTTTTGGAGTGTATACCRTGAGTACACGCGAATGTGTTTTCTAATGTTCTAATGATCTATTAATATCTCCTGGTTTTAGATTTTCTTGTCACTGTGGCTTTTATGGTTTTTGTCTGTTTATTTATTTGTTTCCTGTGCAGAGTTTGTGTCCTTCTTCCATTTCCCCTGGTTTACTTTACTTCCTGTTTTATTTCACAGAATTAATGCTCCTTGGTTACTTTTAAGTTTTACCTCTGCCTTTCAAACACCAGGCCTTTGTTTGCTGATTGCCACACACATACACGTCTTGTTTGTGAGGTTCTCCCCTGAGGATAATCAAACCAGTTTCCTTTACTTACTGTCTGAGTATTGTTGTTCAGGAGTCCTTGRTTCCTGGTTCCTAATTATTCAGTGTTCTGTTGCTTTAAATACAGAAATAATTGTTCTGATGTTGTGGTGCATTTCGTTTTGWTGCTACTTGGTTTTTAATGCATCTTTAAATTGTCCTTCACCTGCTTCCGTACTTCTCTGTTCAGCTTTTGTGTCCTCCTCTTTTGACAGTGTGTTTATTTAAAAACAGATACTTTATTTCAGTACCTTCAATGATGTTTTCCTGAATGTTGCAACCATTGTTTGTGATGGTCTGTTAAGTTTTAAATGAATTTTGCAACGACCCTCCCAACACAAAACCTAACAAATCTTGAATTGCATTATTTTATTCTAAAATGAGATTTTGAAAATGCAAATTAACATTTTAACACGACAAAAATCATACTGCTATTTATGTTTCGTCAGATTAGAGCAAACAAAAGTTTTCCCCAATGTGCACTGACAAAAAAGTGTTTATAAAGTTAATTAAAGTGCATTTAGCTGACCAAGATGCTGTTTTTCTTTTACAATTATATGGGTCAAAGATGGATATCTAAACAGTTCATAGGTTAAATAAGGCCACCATGTTCACATGTTTTTTCATTTTTTATTTTTTTTGCAGTAATTATTCCTCCTCCGCAATCATAAATGAGCATATTTTCTCGCTTCAATCTTCAATTTTACATTAGTGCCATGTCAGCATTGAGTTTAACTGCGCTTGAAAATGATCCTGCAGAAATAAAATATCCCATTATCAGTCACATGGTGTTGTAAAATCTCAGGGAGGATAAGTTGTGTGTTTTCACATGATGCAATGAAAATGGGAGGAAATATTACCGTACATTCATGTGTTCCTTTCCAAGAACTGAAAACACTAAATCTTTTTTTCTGTATGGGTCAGTGTGTGCAGACCATCAGCTGATGGGCAGATATATCAGAGAAACRAGAGGGCAGCCGAGGACCAGTGGTGGTCTTCAGGGAAAAAGATTGTTGGGATTATGCAAGACTTCCGTTTCTTCCAGAAGTCCGATAACTCAGTGGAAAGACCGAAAACTGACTTCGGATACATTAAGCTGGGATGATCTTAAGGGACATCTTGGAAAAACTTGAACTGTAACCTTACGAATTATGCCATTTGCATTGGTTGTTTTCAGTTCTTCTCTGGGATGGGCAGCACTTTTTTTTTTAAATGACTGCCAACATTTACAGGAAGCCGTTATCATTTTTGTTTCTCAGAAATACCCCTGACTT